GCACTCTACCACTTGAGCCACAGCGCCACTTCCGGCTTTTTTTCTTTTTGCTTATGTGGTGCTGAGGAATCGAACCCAGGGCCTCATGCATGCATGTAAGGCAAGCGCTCTACCACTGAGCCACCCTCCCAGCCCCTCTCATGAATTCTTCTGCCCAGCTTGGCTTTGAGCCTCCAGATCATAACCTCTCAAGTAACTACAATTCATCTTCTCCAATTCACCTAGTCCACCAAATTCTCAGAAATGAAAGTCTCAGTTGCAGAGAGTGCTTGGGAGCGCCCTTGCCTCAAGCCTGAAGCCGAGTCCTACCACCCTTCCCCCTCCAGGGCAGTCTGGATATGCAGTGTATAAGTCCATCCCGTATGGCTCCCTGGAGGAGGTGATCCCCTACCTGACCCGCCGGGCCCAGGAGAACCGGAGTGTGCTGCAGGGTGCTCGAAGGGAGCAGGCACTGCTCAGCCAAGAACTGTGGCGGAGGCTACAAGGGGGAGACCTAAGGGTACCCCATTAGCACTTGGGGGGGTCACATAGTCAATAAAGGTCCAGAGTTATGGCCCAGGTTGTTCTCCTGCCCTGAGGCTGCCTCCTTGGGGAAGGATTCCTCTTTGTACTGTCACTGGGACTTGAACTCAGGGCCTGGGTGTTGTCTCTGAGCTTTTGTTGCTCAAGGCTGGTGCTCTACCACTTGAGCCTCCACTTCTGGCTTTTTTGGTGGCTCATTGACGATAAACCTTCCAGAAGGCTGGGAATGTGGCTTAGTGGTACAGTGCTTGCCTACCATGCATGAAGCCCTGGGTTTGATTCCTTAGTACCACATAAACAGAAAAGGCTGGAAGTAGTGCTGTGGTTCAAGTGGTAGAGTGCTAGCCTTGAGCAAAAGCAGCTCAGGGACAGTGCCCAGGACCTGAGTTCAAGTCCCAGGATTGGCAAAAAAAAAAAACAAAACCCAGTCTCCTAGTTTCCTGTCTGGGCTGGCTTCGAGTTGTGATCCTCAGGTCTCAGACTTGGAGTAGCTAGGATTATAGGCATGAGCCACCAGCTCTGCCAGCTCTCTAGATGGGCATTAACAGAGGGCTGAAGATGGGCCTCCTCTAACTCTTGAAGCAGCTCATCCTTGGATGGACAGGGTCAACAGCCAAATCTGGAAGTTGCTTTGTCTCAGGAAGAGCCTGGAGATAAGAGTTTCACACTCTTTCTTTCCCAAGGCTGGCTGCAAACCTCAATCCTCAGATCTCAGCCTCCCGAGTAGCTGGGATGACAGGCATGAGCCACCAATGCCCAGCTCCATTCTTATATTTTGAAATCAGGATCTCACACATGCACATGGTAGGCAGGTGGTCTTCCACTTGAGCTACCACACTTCCAGCCCTGGGGGAGACTGAGGCTCTCTGGGGTGCCCCGTGTGTGTGATGGACCAGGAGGGACGGAAGGACAGGCGGCCCAGGAGAGCATCCTACAGGACCTTCACATCTGGATTGGGCAGAGGTTGGGGTCAGTTCTTGGTGTGAGGAGCACGGAAGTCAAGGACGCAAGGTCAGATGGCTCCAGAGAAGTCCTGGCGTGCAAGCAAGAAAGGAGGACCAAGCACACAGCAGCAGAAAGCTCTTCAGCAGACACACCCGCGGGTCTAGAACCTGGGGGGGGGGGCCCTCGTGGAGGGAGGCTACTGCGCAGGCGGACCGGGTGGGCCCTAGTGCGCATGTGTGAAGGTCACGTGGCCGTCACGTGCTGACCACTGTGGAGCCTAACGGTAGGTGCCAGCCTAGAACTTTTCAGAGCCCTCAGCTTTTCACCAGAGGATGCCTTTCCCCAGCCACTGACCCTGCCCCATCCTGGAAGCCCCACCTCCACGATGACAACCCCTCCAATAGACAGTCCCAGCCAACAAGTCCCATCCACAAACCCGCTCCCACAGCCTTCATGCCCAGCCTACAGGCCCACCTGCCCAGGCCCCGCCCACAGACCCACCTCTCACATCCTTCAGCCCCGCCCTCAAGCCTTGTCTCTCACACCTTCAGGCCACGCCCACAGGGGGGCCTCTCACAGCCTGCAGGCCCCGCCCGCAGAGGACTCTCACACCCTTTGGCCCTGCCCACAGACCCGCCTCTCAGCTCCAGGGCCCGCCTCTCACACCCTTTGGCCCTGCCCACAGACCTGCCTCTCAGCTCCAGGGCCCGCCTCTCACACCCTTTGGCCCCGCCCACAGACCTGCCTCTCAGCTCCAGGGCCCGCCTCTCAC